ATGACATTTCTCGTCCTTTTGGAAATGAACAAGTTATCCATTGTTTAACAAGTTTAATGTTTGTTGGAAAGTTTAAAAATTTGTTAAAAAGTTGATGTCAAAATTTAACAGTTATTAGACATTCAGATAAGATCCACAATTACTACATATTTTTCCACCACTCATTTTCGTCGAAGTCATCTTTTTTAACTCTCTCAAATAAATAAATAAACATACACAATAACAAAGAATAAGGTATATATTGAACAAAACCTCTGTAATAACACATGTACATTTTTAATTGATTGACTAAAAAAATTCGTGCCGACATAATTGTCACCAAACTTTTCCTTAGAGAAATATTCATCATTTTCCATAGCATCCACGTATGTATAAAGATACATGGTAAATGCCATTTTTTAATTTTTTTTATTCACAACTGATTCTCGATAAGATATGCGACACATAACTGATAAAATTGATGCTGGAAATTGGTTGAGGATCAATTTACATATGAATGAAAAATTCAATCCTATTTAAAGGAAATTAAAATTTGGGGTGTGCCCCTTCACCTACGACCCTTCAACTCCTATATATAGGATTATATAGGTGCTTATTTTGATAATTATATAAATTATTCTTTCATGTCATGTTGTACAAAACACTTTATAAAAATGATTTCATTTTGTATCAAAATCATGGTCATGGTAGAGAGGGAATTTCGTTCGAATTCGTTAATTGAAATCATTTGGAGTGCTCCTATGGCTCGACGTGGTCATTGTATATTGGGAGATGATTTGCTAGAGAACCGTTAGCACCAATGCGGAGCAAATTCATCTTAAGGACAAAGTGTCCAACACTTGCCTCGATCTAAAATCCATCATTTGCATTCTCTTGTTTCGTTTTCTGATTTCTTTTATTATACTTCGATTTCAGAAACTGATTAACATTGTTTACATATTTATGTTGAAAGGTTCGATCTAAAGAATGATTTGCCTTCCTTCAAGAATCGAAAGGGATGAATCCATATTAATACGTTCGGTCGGATTTGATAAATTCTTATTTTATCTTCTCAAATCCCATCTCAGTAAGTCGAAATTATTTATCGATTTCGTGAATATAAATGGTATGTTTTGTGAATATAATATAAACAATATCGGTGTAATTTTCCAACAATTGAAACTTAGCCTCGATTTGGATTTCATTAATTTCAAAAAATATTTTTTTTTTCTCTACTCTTTTTATAATGGAGCAGGCTGACCAAAAATATCTTAGCCACTTTTTTGATTTGGTTAAAAGTCAAATTATTAGTAAATTTGGATGAAAGTTGATAAAATTGAGGCAAAAGACGGCCTTTATTTGGTGGGAAATTTAAGTTAAAATCAATAATTAATTTTAACTTTATATTTCATAAAATTCACAACTTTTTAACTACTAATTTCATCAATTTTTGTCAAATTCTACTACAAGCATGGACTTAATTCTAGAGGCATTGTATTGATTCCAATCGATTATTCTATTTTTATCTCTAGACTTTAGCGATCAAGTAAGCCCATAATTTGCATTCAATTTTTTAAAACTCATATTTTTTAAATATATTTTCATCCATACATTTCATGAGATTTATGACTTTATCAATTTCCAATTCGACAAAATTTATTAACTTTTTATCAAATTTCACTAAAATATAATTCTAAACCAAATTAGGGCTAAGCTTATTTACAAATTAATGTAAGGGTCCGTTTCATCGCAAAAATGAAATTTGAGTGGAAAGAAAACAAATTTTAGAGAATTGAATTGCCTAAAAATTATTTTTTTGGGGATTGTCAATTTATTGTGTTTGATTTGTATAATTTTTCATGTGAAAAATGTTTAAATAAAAGTACTTTTTGGTGTTCGTTTGACTTTGTTTAACATGAAAATTGTCAATTAAATGGATAGAATTTACTGGTATTGGGGATGAAATTTGTTTCCATTGTCAACAAAAAAAATAAGAAAATCATCTATCTTTTGGTGTTTGTTTGACTTTATTTTATATGGAAATTGTCAATTAAAGGGAAATATTTTTTTACAATAATTCTTAAAATTTGTTTTCATTTCAAAAAAAAAAAAAAGAAAAAATAAAAATCACTACAGTAAGATGGAAAATGAATTCTCACCATTTTTGTGAGAATTCAAATTCATCAAAAAGTTGGAAATTATCTACGTGGCCAAGGAAAGTGGAAAAGGTTTTTCATGGAAAATTTTTCCTACTAAGTACTACAAAAGTTGGAAAATCTTGGCCACGGAAAATGGTAGGCAATCAAACAGGGCCTAAGCGTCATCACTTCTCATCACCTTATGTATGCCAATACAATGACGTTAGATGATATTTCCAATTAAATGTAGAAATACGAAACTCATGTTATTGGACATATTATTCACTATCATCTAAACTTAATTAGGATCGTCAGTTGATACGAATGACATTCTAATCCACAGATAATCCGCTAAATTACATTAAACGTCGAACTAGTGACCTTTAAAAGCAACTTAATGACTTACAAATCACTAGAACAATCTAATCTTATCAAACTAATTGTTTTTATTAGGAAGGAATCTACATCTTATCGTATATTCCATATGCAATAGAATACTACTTGGTCCACTAGATTTTAGTTGATGTTTAATAATCTATACAAGTGTTGCCCTACTAAGAAAGAGATCGTGATTTCAATTTTTCAACGACGAGATTAGTCCCATCAATTAATCGAACTATTCGGAAAGTTTGGCACGATTTCATTTGTCCTTTTTAATTGCAACTGACGATGGAGCTCATGCCAGAGATTAGTCTCTGATTCTGGTCCATGATAAATGATTATCTAAAATTTCCATTCTTGATAAATCTTGCATTAAAGTCTCAATTTTCTAAAATTTATTTTTTACTATAAATTTTATGAAACTTGCAATATTTATCGACCTTTCAAATATATATATATATATATATGTGTGTGTGTGTGTGTGTGTGTG